GCAGAGCCTCACATTCCCGTCGAGTCATCCAAGCTGCGGCTCAGATCTGCAGGCCCAGGCGTTCCGGAAACATTGATAGAAGCAGGCAACGACGAGGTATGGAACTCTTGGATGATTATTTTGTTCCTAATAGTGCATTCCCTGATACGTACTTTAGACGTCGTTTTAGAATGGAACGACATTTGTTCAACAAAATCATGATTGCTGTTTGCAACCATGATTCTTATTTTGTGCAAAAAAAAGATGCTTTTGGTGCTATGGGTCTACTGCCGGAGCAAAAAATTACTGCTGCCTTGCGGATGCTTGCATATGGAGCATCTGCAGACCAAGTGGATGAGATAACGAGGATGGGGCAATCAACCATTCTTGAGTCCCTGATGAGGTTTTGCGGAGCAATCGAATCTATCTATACCGCTGAGTACCTCCGCAAACCCACACACATGGACTTGGAGCGGCTGTTGAAGAAGGCGGAGATGCGTGGCTTTCCTGGGATGATTGGAAGCATTGATTGTATGCACTGGACGTGGAAAAACTGTCCAAGTGCATGGCAAGGTGCTTACGGGGACAGAAAAGGGGAAAAAAGTATCATTCTGGAGGCGGTGGCATCTTTTGATACATGGATTTGGCACGCCTTTTTCGGGGTCCCGGGAGCTCAAAATGACATCAACGTCCTTGCCCAATCCCCAGTGTTCAACGATGTCCTGCAAGGAAAGGCACCAAAAGTTACATATGAGGTCAACGGACGTATGTACGACGGGCCATACTACCTAGCTGACGGCATCTACCCGCGCTGGTCAACATTTGTCAAAACAGTGCCACGTCCGCGGAGTGCGAAGGAAAAACACTTTGCAAGCTGTCAAGAGGGGTGCAGGAAGGATGTGGAGCGTTGTTTTGGTATCCTCCAAGCTCGCTGGGCGATCGTCAGGGGTGCGGCCAGATTGTTTGATGTAGAGTCGCTTCGATCCATCATGATGACGTGCATCATTCTTCACAACATGATTGTGGAAGATGAGTACGATTATGAAGCTGTTGATGAATATGAGCCAGACCCGATGAACAATTCAAGAACACGTATATATTGTGCTCATGACGCCACCGATGACCCTGTGCAACATGAGCCATTACAAAGGGATGGACGTTACAATGAAAGGCTCATTCAACGATATACTGCATTTCAAATGCCAGACATGCACAATGCCCGACAAATTGACTTGATAGAGCACCAGTGGGCATTGAAACAAGCTGAGGATAATTAAGTTCATTTTAGTGTGTTTATGTTTATGTTATTTTATTTGGTGTGTTTTATTATTTGGTATGTTTATGTAATTCTTAGTATATGTAATTCTTAGTATGTTTATGTAATTTTTTTATGTTTATGTTTATGTAATTCTTAGTATAAATAACTTACCAAATTAAATAACTTACCAAATTAATTCTTAATATAAATAACTTACCAAATTAAATAACTTACCAAATTAATTCTTAATATAAATAACTTACCAAATTAATTCTTAATATAAATAACTTACCAAATTAATTTGAATAAATATTCATGAACATGGAAACAACATAAATAATAAATTACAACCCAAAGTGATTGGAAAATTATGGGCTCCGATTACAAAAAGTACTCTATTCATCATCACTTAACCAATTTGTGCTGCTAGGATGATCTTCTCTTGCGGTGCTAGAACCACCTTGGCTTACTATTGTTTCTCTTGCACGCCTCCTTTGCACCACGTCCGCTTTCTCTGACTTCCAAAAAAATTTAGAATTTGGAGACTTCCCTTCTAAAGACATGTTCATAATCTCACGATCTTGTTGAGCTCGTCTTTCTTCTCTAACATGTTCCCTTTCTTGCCTAAGTAGCTCTCTTTCTCTCTCATTAGCATAAAATTCTCTCTCAACAGCTGCTGCTTTTGATGCCTTATCAGCCTTATCAGCCTCATCTTTCGCCAGTTCCCTCGCCAAAGTCAATTCACCTTGGCGAGTAAGTTCTTCCATGAACTTTGCATAATCGTTCTTGGAAGCACTCCCTTTTCTCTTTGTAGCCTTCTTACCTTGAGGCCTAATTGGAAAACGGGTCGAACCCGACGCTTGTTCAGGGAGGGGCGTTTCGGGCACTTCTTCTGCATCATCTTCATCAACATGATCGGGTGTAGAGTGTAGAGGGGTGCTGTTCATGTGCACTTCTGGACCAACTGGCACAACTCTAAATTTAGGACAATCTTTGACAATATTCCAACATTCCCACCGGTTGAATGATTTATTTTTGCCTTTGGTTTTGGCAGCATACCAAGCTTGTGCTTGAAGTTCCTACACAATAAAAATAAGTAACAAATAAATAATACAAATAAATAATTATAATGAAAATAAGTAACTAGCAAATATATACATATATATATATATATATATATATAAGTAACAAAGATAATGAAAATAAGTAACAAAGCAAATAAGAAGGCTTCAAGTTTAGTAAATAATGAAAATAATTAACAAATATATATATATATATACATTAATTTTAATGAAAATAAGTAACAAATAAATAATACAAACAACATAATTATAATGTAACAAATAAATGTAACAAATAAGTAACAATAACATAATTATAATGTAACAAACAACATAATTATAATGTAACAAATAAGTAACAATAAATAATAAATTATGTACGTAACAAATAAAGAATACAAACAATAAATAATAATATCTTGTTACCATATCCGAGTAATTTTCCCCACTTCGAATATTATTACTAGCTTGTGCCAAAGCGTCTCTCCACGTACTAAACGATTGGCTAAGTAATTTCCAACGACTGGACATCGATTCTTTGGTTCTTTTCCCACCAATTTTCTCAAGATAATTGGTATGAATAAGACTCCACATTTCTCTTAACTGCATCTCATTACCCGTAAGCGAACTATGAGTAACTTCAACCCAGCTAGTACACAACGCAACATCTTCAATAAGCGACCAATTCGTACCTGCACCAGTGGTCATTTTGTTGAAAAAAAATTGATTCAAACTTTGAGACAAAGAAAGGAATGTGATTGAAAGTGGTTGAGAAAATATGAAATTGTTGTGAAGGTAGATGATAATGAGAAGGTATTTATAGAAAAGTAAAAACAATTTTTTTTACAATTTTTTTCAGATTTTTTTTTGAATTTTTTTGAATTTTTTACATTTTTTTTTGAATTTTTATTCAATTAATTAATCTCTGCCGTTGGATATAAAAAAATTTGAATTCCAACGCTCCAGATTGTGCCACGTGTCACAACGGTAACTTTTCAGATTTTTAAAACTATTTTTTCATTTATTTTTTAATTTTTAAAGCATTTTAATATCCACCGTTGATCTCAGATCGAACGGTGGATATTAAATCTGACAGTTTGAAAATTTTTTACCGTTGAGATCTAACGGTCCACATTAAGTGACCGTTACGATCTAACGTACCGTGGGAAGCCACGTGGCTTCCCAACGGTAACAGACAAACATTTTTTTTTTTCTGATTAATGTGTCAGGACGCGCCCCCACGCGCGGGTGGGGTGCACGCGCCTGACACAAAAAAAATAAAATAATAGGCTGACGCCACGCTGGCGTCAGCATGGCGTCACTCCCACCCCGGGCTCAAGGCCTGTCGATTCCTCACGGGCCTGGCCCTCGGGCCTTCCCCTTCCCCCCGGCTTCCCAACGCTGGAGCTGGTCCACCTTCACTCGGGCCTCCGTTTTGGAGCCCGTCCCCCGAGCTAAACCCCACGCTGGGGATGCTCTAAGAGAGAGCAAGTATGGTGGTTATGACTCATAAGGGTTGTTGCAGCAAGTGTTTGAGTACTTATGACTTTTTTCTTCATTCATTTTTTCGGTTACATCAGAGTGTTTCGAACTTTAGATGCCCAGACGTGGTGAATATGGTAGTTATTTAGAGTCATGGAACCTACTTTTGAGGAGTAGTCCAACTTTACTTATAAGCCTATGCAAAGCCCATCCTCTCATCAATATAAAATTCATTCTCAACATATGAGACGATGCCCAGATTGTTTAGCTTTAGTCTAGGCTAAAGCTCGGGGTCTATCCTTTTCTTCAATTTCCTTTTTTTTTTTTTTTTTTTTCAAACAAGATGAACTAGTGTGAAATGAAGATTATAATATTTCAAGGTTTTGAGCACGTTGGAAATGATTTTCGCATATACCATTTTTTCTTTCTCGCACAAATTATGTATATGTTTGTCTTTTAATCTTCTTTTGGTTTATTCAATTCAAGGAGAAAAAAGTATACGAAAATCACTTTCCTTGTTATTACAAAATGACGATTAAGAAGTTTAAAAAACTCTAATTTAATCTTGACATATGAAACTTGTAAGAATTTTTTAGCATGCAAGTAGATTAGGACTTAGGAGTATTTGTTTCTTCCCTTTTGTAGTTTGCAGAGAGTGGAGAGAAAAAGAAAAGAAAGAAATGGTAATAGACAAATAAGCAGAAATATTTGAAAAAGAAAAAAGAAAGGAAAAGAAAGAAGAGGTGGCTAATGGCAGAAATAGAGGCACACTCCCATCTTCGCTTCTCTGAAATCCCCAGAGAGGATACAACGAAAGGAGCACTGGGGACTTAAACCCCGATAAGATTTCAATCTTCACACTCTGCAACTTCCAGTTTTCAACTATTTTTGCAAAAATGTGATTCACCCACAAAATCTATTCAAGTTTAAAACTTGCAAAAAAGCTAAGAATTGTATCCTTCTGTTCTTGTACGTTTAGCATTTTCGCAACAAATCCCGTCTTGTATACTAAATAGGCGTTGCAGATTCGAGTTTTTCTTTTCGGCCTGAACGCCTTGCTAATCCATTCATACTCAAGTGTATCAAACAGTTCTATATACATTCATTCATTTGATTGTCAGTTCAACTTCTGCTTTATTTGGTTATAATCTTTTGGTTCGTACGGTGCTCAATATGCGGTTTATCTTGCAGCGTAACTTTGGTTTCGCACCCGAGAGAAATGTAAAGAATTACACTGTTTCATTGATCAGAGAATTCATCTGTTGATTGAAGTACTGGAAATGACAGAAACCATTTTACAAGTACCTGGGAGGCCTACAGTTAGATACAATTTACATGCCTTCACAATTTCCTAACCTTTGGACTTGCGCCCAAACTTTTTCGGAGGAAGTGAGGAGGATGACGAAGACAGCCCGGATAGGTTCTTATCAGCTTTGTCCTTGTCAAATGCCTTTTGTACTTCCTCCTTAAGCTCCAAGAAACGCCGCCTCTTTATTTTCTGCTCATCAGTGGTGCCCGTCTCAAGGACACACAAATCAGGAAGGTCGACCTGAAGGAACTTGTCGAGGACTTCCGAGCAATGTGGAAAATAGTGTCTACCCATACTGACTGCCACAATAGAACACGAAGGCTTCAAATAGAGAATAAAAAGGACGATACAAGTACTTTTATCCAGCAGATTCTACATACAAGTACTTTCATTCCGTGCCTCATGTTACCCCATTCAGTCCAGTAGGTTAGGAAAATTGCTTAACTTGGCTGATGTGGCATAAGATCATTGGTTTTTTGGTTTTCTAACCACCGTGACGGAATGGGGAAACAGAAGACAACTGAAGCATAGGGGGCAAAGTCACACAGATTTTCGTCAAGGCGTACAAACAAATAAGCCGAAAAAAAGGATCAACCAAAACTCTGCAATGCAACCACAATAATAGCATGTTACCTGTTTTCACAAGGGATTCCAACCTAGAAAGGAGTCTTTTGTTCTGCACAGTGGGAGTCTCGTTCAAATCAACCTCCATCAAATTCCCACTAGATCCTTTCAACGAAGAGATCCCGGCAAACTCAGGCGTTGTGTCTGCCTGTGAAATGGCCATGGCTAGCTTGGCTTCAGCAGGGAATAACAATCTGGCGAATGCCACTGGAATAAACAATGCACTTCAGATTCAGGCCTTATCTAACAAGTGAAGGAGACCACAGCAGAGACTCAACTCATATTAATCCAGTCAAAAGATGAAACATCAAACGTGAAAGGTTGCGATTCAAGGAGAAAAAGGATACTGACTATGATCTGCCACCACAATGCCTTCACAAATCAAATTGAGAGTGTAGAAATGTTACCTCGATTCTCCAGTTTCAGCAATCTCATGTGCAGGTCATTGGGCGTTATTTGGGAAGATATAGATGCCTCTCCAGCCATTGGATTCCTCTGCATTTCTCTCTCAAGAACATCAATGCAAATCCGGTCTTTGTTTGCTTCTTGCCCCCGCTCTGTTTTTGTATGATAATCCTTTGGCCTTGTCAACCTCCGGCAAATACTAACAGCACTCTCACCTTCCAAAGTCGGCTCTGATGCACGAGCGCCATTAGACAAAAGCAATATTATAATTGATGGCTCTTTCCGCATCATAGCAATGTGAAGCACTGTATAACCCCGGGAATCCCGGAGGTTAACATCAGCCAGACCCAGGCCAAGCACTTCAGCCACAACCTTAGGATCGCAGTAAGCAGCAGCATAATGGAGCGCATTGGCTTCGTCTAAGGTTACATCAGACTCGGTTAAAAGAAGTTTCATAAGTTCAACATCATCTGAGTCCAGTGCCTTATGTATTCTCCTGATTCTCTTCTCACGCAAGGGGTCCACGGCTGGCATGTTTGGGTCGCAGCAGTGCTGAGAATTGCGGCGAAGAATTTTAATCTTCTCCACAACCTCATCAGGAAGTGTTTTCTCTAGAGATATACTATCAAGATCTGAGTGTGCCACTCTCTCTATACACTGATCAATGAGCTGACTTAACTGACAATGAAACGCAACCACGAGGATTGGGATAACATCATCCGCCAGAGCTTTCACTACAAAATCGATAAGCTGTCGCTGCCAAATACACAGAACCAAATCAGAACAACCTTGCATTTTTCTTTCCAAATGAATTAGTAATCTATCTTTGCATTCTATAAAACGAGTTGGATAGAAGTTGACCAAAAACGAAAAACATAATACAGATACACAACTAAGGTGGCCGAAACCAGTGGCGAAACAGGAATTGTCGGAGGAGGGGCGAAATTTAAAAGCGTAAAAGGTTCCAAAAAATGCAGACAACCAAGTCTTTTTACATAGTAGACAATTTCAATGTCGTTGATGACTCATAGGGTGTTCATGTACTTTCTGTGCATTGCATGCTCATGGTTTCTAAAGTAAAAAAGAACACTAATTGCTAAAGTTGACTAATTCCTCGATGTGATTAAAATGTTTCATCAGAAATTCAGAAAGCAAACAACACCAACTAACCTGCAATATGGAAACCAGATCCGGCATTCCGAAAACCGAAGAAGCACACATCAACTCCAAAGCAAATTCAATGGCGGGTCGACAAGCTTCATGGCCGCACACATTGTGAACGCAGCTCGAAACCTCGACCGGAAAATCCCTCACCTTTGCAGTATACACAAAGCTCAAGAAAACCAGAAACGCTTCATAACCCACATGCCCAAAAGGCAGCAAATCACTCATACAGTACTTGGGCTTTCCTTCTTTTTCGGAATCCCCATTTTCCCGCCTGAATAACTCCGCGAAAAACTCGCTCCTCGAAGCCAAAATGCATCGGTGGACAGCAACCGGAACGCCCTCGACGGTGATTTCGGCGTCGCTGTAGTCGCCGCCGGAGTCGGCCAGTAGCCGGCCCAAATTGGAGCTGAGGTTGGTGAGTAACTCGGGGGTGGGCGGCGGGTCGGAGGCGGAGGAGTTGGGGTTAATGGAGGCGTTGGATATGTGGGGAGAGGAGGTGAAGCTCAAGCAGGAAGATGGGTCGGATGAATTAGCCATTAGTTAATCTGGGCTAGATTCAAACATGGAGATTAACGAGATGGATCAAAGCATGATGATTGATGGGATAAAACAATCCAGGAGGAGGTTGAAGATGCTACTGCGAAAATAGTCAACGTAGTTTTGAGTGACGATACTTGAACGTTGGCTTCCACGTTTATTAGCTCCAGGGTTTAAAGCCTAAGTAGTGATATTTCTATATTTAACTCATATTAGTGAGGAAACATGTTTGAATTAGAATAGGGCTATTGAATACAACTTATATATATATATATATAGTGCGTACTCGCGACGCTATTTTTTTTCATAATTTTTGACACGTTTTTGTAGGGGTCATTATGTAATGTGTTTCAACAAACGGTTTATTTTCTACAATAGAATTTATAGATCATCTTTGTAAAAAATTAGACAAATCCCAAACTATCAAAACATTCATTTATAGTGAAGGAAATTAACGAATATTGTTCTACAACAAAAATTCTAAACCTTTAATCCAATAGTTATATGGTTTCAAATTTGATTGATTTTAGTAGACATGATCTTAAGAGATAACTTAAATAATAGATGTTCAGATCATTAAAAACATTACTAAAAGGGTCTCATAAAAACATGTGCCCAAAATTATATAGAAAACTATTTTCCCGGATCCATGCCCTTATAATTTTTTTTTTTTAGTACATCGATATTTTCACATTAAGGAAAGAGGAGTTCGGCAAAGCCACACAATAAGTAGCCTAATTTGGTATCGAATTCGCCATTTATGAGATTCGAACCTAAAATCTCTCACCTTCAAGTAAAAAAGAATATTACTAAACCGTAGTATTGAATGATAATTTAAAATTAATTTAAACCCAATTCTTTAACTATCATGATAATCCATCATTTTCAATAAGAATAGGTTAGTCCAAGTGTGTAACCGAGGACCCGTGTGCAGAGCACATGCGCAGCATATGCCTCACTTTTGCAATTTAAAAATTATGAAATTTTTTTTTTTGAAGAAGAAACGAAAAATGATAAATAATTAAATAATTGTTTATTAATTAGGACTGAGGCGTTTTGAGAATTTGGAATTTTTAATATTACGTACGTTGAGAAAACAAAATAAGATACTAAAACCTTTTAGCGTAAAATCTTGACCATTAAATTTTTAATTAAATTTTAACGGTCAAAGTCTAGATGAATAAGATAATCCATAGTACTATTAGGGAAAAAAAATGGTTTAACTCAAAGAAATGTTCGAGCACACATGCAGATGGCCAAAAGACATGACGTCGTCTAAGTCTGTACAGTAAAAAATTAGAGACATGTTTGGAACTGTATTATAATGACTAAAAATGTTTTTAAAAAATTTAAGTTCCAAAAATATTCAAAATGCTTCCTCTAAAAAGCATCAGCTATGTGTTTCTTGTACGAAGCAATAAAGTGATTTTCTAGTAATCAATTGTCATTTTATTAACGATTGATTCCGAAAACTCTTTCAATTATTTTATGAGTATTTTTGAACGAGTTATATATCCTACCAACTTTTCTATGCTCACTATTTTGTTGGTAAAAATATCATCTTGTTCCTCTTAAATAGGAGTTGCTAATGCCCCCATGCTCAACGTATTGAAATTGAATACTTACTAATTCGTTAAGAGCATTCTTCCTTGAACCTGAAGTTTCGAGTCCGAAAACTCCCTGTGAACACGAAAAATTCTTGAAAACAAGAGACAAGAATACGTGTACAAAATAATATTTTTTGTGTTTAATGATTTTGGGGTTACGATCTCTTTGTAATTTGATCCTCTGATTCTATCTCCGTAAGATGTAGATTTGTTGATCCAAGGGCCGTCGAGGCTTGATCTTGGATGAACAGTTGTAAGTTTCTTCAAGGGCCTTCGTGGCTTTGATCTTGAAAGTTGATGGAAGTTTCTTCAAGGGCCTTTGGGGCTTGATCTTGAAGGTTGATGGATGAGTGGATCTTCAAGGGCTTTTGGACTTGATCTTGAAGAATGATTAGATGTGTGGATTTGTTTGTTGATCCAAGGGGCCGTCGGGGCTTGATCTAAGGATGAACGGATGATGAATGATGAACACTTTCTTCAAGGGGCCGTCGGGGCTTGATCTTGAATAATGGGAGTGTGGATTTCTTCAAAGGCTTTTGGGCTTGATCTTGAAGAACGGTTGGATGTGTGGATTTGTTGATGTTGTTGATCCAAAGGGCCGTTGGGGCTTGATCTTAGGATGAACGGATGATGAATAATGAACACTTTCTTCAAGGACCGTCGGGGCTTGATCTTGAGTTGGTGGAAGTTTTTCAAGGGCCGTCGGGGCTTGATCTTGAAGGAGGATTTGACGAAGAACGAAGAAGGCTTTCTTGATCCTTCGGGATTTTCTTGAGAGCTTTAGAACTTTAAGGCTTCAAGGTTTTGGTGTGTGTCTTTTGTTAAGGTTGTTGATCCAAAGGGCCGTTGGGGCTTGATCTTAGGATGAACGGATGATGAATGATGAACACTTTCTTCAAGGGCCGTCGGGGCTTGATCTTGAGTTTGATGGAAGTTCTTCAAGGGCCGTCGGGGCTTGATCTTGAAGGAGGATTTGACGAAGAACGAAGAGTGATTTCTTGATCCTTCGGGATTTTCTTGAGAGCTTTAGAACTTTAAGGCTTCAAGGTTTTGGTGTGTGTAGAGAAATGTATTTGTGAATTGGTCTCTTTGTGTGTGTGGGTTTGTTGAGGTTGTTGATCCAAAGGGCCGTTGGGGCTTGATCTTAGGATGAACGGATGATGAACGATGAACACTTTCTTCAACGGCCGTCGAGGCTTGATCTTGAGTTGGTGGAAGTTCTTCAAGGGGGCTTTTGGGCTTGATCTTGAATAATGGTTGTGTGGACTTCTTCAAGGGCTTTTGGGCTTGATCTTGAAGATTGATGGATTTGACGAAGAACGAAGAGTGCTTTCTTGATCCTTCGGGATTTTCTTGAGAGCTTTAGAACTTTAAGGCTTCAAGGTTTTGGTGTGTATATTTGTTGATGTTGTTGATCCAAAGGACCGTTGGGGCTTGATCTTAGGATGAACGGATGATGAATGATGAACACTTTCTTCAAGGGCCTTCGTGGCTTTGATCTTGAAGGTTGATGGAAGTTTCTTCAAGGGCTTTTGGGCTTGATCTTGAATGTTGATGGATGAGCGGATCTTCAAGGGCTTTTGGGCTTGATCTTGAAGAACGGTTGGTTTTCTTCAAGGGCCGTCGAGGCTTGATCTTGAATGAACAATTGGTTTTCTTCAAGGGCTTTTGGGCTTGATCTTGAAGAATAGATGTGTGGATTTGTTTGTTGATCTAAGGGGCCGTCGGGCCTTGATCTAAGGATGAACAGTTGATGAATGGATCTTCAAGGGGCGTTGGGCTTGATCTTGAAGAATGAGTGTATGGGTTTGTTGAGGTTGTTGATCCAAAGGGCCGTTGAGGCTTGATCTTAGGATGAACGGATGATGAATGATGAACACTTTCTTCAAGGGTTGTCGGGGCTTGATCTTGAGTTGGTGGGAGTTCTTCAAGGGCCGTTGGGGCCCTTGATCTTGAAGGAGGATTTGACGAAGAACGAAGAGTGCTTTCTTGATCCTTCGGGATTTTCTTGAGAGCTTTAGAACTTTAAGGCTTCAAGGTTTTGGTTTGTAGAGAAATGTATTTGTGAATTGGTGTTTTTTCCTCTTGATGGAGAAGCCTATTTATAGGCTTTGAGAGTGAATCACCACCACAAAATTTTCCCACCCAAGCACTATTACCTAATTTTCCCACTTAATGCAATATTGAAATTGAAGTGGTCTAACAAATGGCCTAATTTTCCACTTAATACAATATTGAAATTGAAGTGGTCTAACAAATGACCTAACTTTCCACTTAATGCAATATTGAAATTGAAGTGGTCTTATTTATGACCTAATTTCCCACTTAATACAATTTTAAACTTGAAATGTGTTTGTTTTGTCATTGCCCAAATGAGAAAAACTTGCTTTGATCCGTAATGGATTGAAATGTGCTTACCTTGTCATTGCCCAAATTGAGAAGAAAAACTTGTTTAATCATCCAAGGATATTTCTTCCTATTTTGTTGAGTCACATGCCATGTGTACAATTTGTACGACACGTGGCGTATGCCATGTATGCCCTGACACGTCAAAACTTTAATACGTTGGTGAACATTTGTTTCACCGAAATTTCGATGTCTACACTCCCTAAGAGAGCTTTATAAGAAAAGATAAAAAAGTAAATGTAATTGATCAAAACCATCCTCTACAGAAGTACAAAACTAAGATACTTGCTAGTTTGTGAAGTTAACAGAGCAATTCAAAGCTGCCCAGATTTTACCGATCCGATGGCCAACACTTCCCTACGCTCTCGTCAGTAACCTCGAAAAAAATCGTTCGTATTTCGAAGGCTTATTAGGTACAAATTTACACGCCTTCACTATTTCCTAACCTTCTGATTTGCGCCAAATTTTCTCGGAGATGACGAGGAGGATGATGAAGACAACCCGGAGAGGCTCAACTCAGCCTTGTCTTTGGTAAATGCCTTTTGTACTTCCTCCTTTAGCTCCATGAAACGCCTCCTCTTTACCCTCTGCTCATCAGAGGAGCCGGACTCGAGGAAAAACAATTCAGGAAGGTCGTCCTCGATGAACTTATCCAGGACTTCCGAGCAATGAGGGAAATAGCATCTACCCAAACGGACTGCCACAATACGAAAAAGCTTAGAACAAATGACTAAATAGTATGTAAATGAAACCGCAGTAAGGGATAAAAGCGTGCGTTTATGATTTACCGGTTTTCATAAGGGCTTCCAACCTAGAGTGGAGTCTTTTGTTCTGCACTGTGGGGGTCTCATTTAAATCAACCTCCATCAGATTCCCACTTGAGCCTTTCGACGACGATGGCTTAGGAAACTCGGGCGTTGTCTCTGTATGGGCAATGACCATGGCTAGCTTGGCCTCCGCAGGAAATAACAATCGGGCAATTGCCACTGCAATCACAAGTGCAAGATGTCGCGCCAGAGAATCAGAGACACACTAAACCAATCGAAAGAAGAAATATGAAGGCAAAAGGTTGAAATTCAGGTGTTAAAATAAGAAGACCACATATCCACAACCAACATTTTACCAAGAGAACCTCGCAAAATAAAACTGGAAGGATATAATACTGGATAATGCCTTTTGTTTTGCAAGATATGTCGACCATCGTTGATAAAATGCTATTTGTTTTGCAACACTTACCTCTGTTCTCCAGGTTCAGCAACTCCATGTGCAGATCATCAGGCATTATTTGGGAAGATATAGATGTATCTCCAGCCATCGGATTCCGCCGCATTTCCCTCTCTAGAACATCAATGCATATTCGGTCTTTGTTTGCTTCTTGCCCCTGCTCTGTTTTTGAATGGTAATCCTTTGGTCTTGTCAACCTCCGGCAAATACTAACAGCATTCTGACCATCTGATGTTAGCTCCGACGCACGAGCCCCTTTAGTGAGAAGCAATACGATAATTGATGGCTCTTTGCGCATGACAGCAATGTGAAGCACTGTATAACCACGAGAATTCCGGAGGTTAACATCAGCGAGACCCAGATCAAGCACTTCGGTCACAACCTTAGGATCGCAGTAAGCTGCAGCATAATGAAGAGCATTTGCTTCGTCGAGGGTTATATTAGACTCCGTTAAAAGAAGTTTCACAAGTTCAACATCATCCGAGTCCAAAGCCTTATGTATTCTCCGGATTCTCTTTTCACGCAAGGGATCCACAGGTGGCAAGTTTGAGACACAATCCTGCTGAGTTTTGCAGCGAAGAACTTTGATTTTCTTCACAACCTCATCAGGAAGTCCCTTCTCAATAGAGATATCATCAATATCTGATCGTGCCACTCTCTCTATACCCTCAGCGATGAGCTGATTCAACTGACAATGGAAAGCAACCACGAGAATCGGGATAACATTGTCCGGCAGAGCTTTCCCAACAAAATTAAGAAGGCGCCGCTGCCAATGCACAGACAATCAAATCAGAACTATTTTCCATATATATTACCAAAAGAATGAGTAATCTATCACAACATTCATAACTAAGTTGGATAGAAAATCCCCCCAAAAAAAAATATATTGATTTACGAATCCATGAACTCATAGACTTGACTAACAAAAATCTGCTCAGAAATTCAAAACAACAGAAGACCAACCTCGAATATCGAAACCAGATCGGGCATTTGGAAAACGGAAGCGGCGTACATCAATTCCACAACGAAATTAATAGCAGGTCTACACGCGTCATGGGCACATCCATTGTGAACGCACGTTGACACCTCCATCGGAGAAGGCTTAAGCTTTCCGGTATACACATAGCTTAAGAAAACCAAGAAGGCTTCGTATCCAACATCCCCGTAAGGCAGCAAATCGCTCATAGAGTACCTTGGCCTGCCTTCCTTCCCAGAAGACCCCTTTTCTCGCTTGAATAGCTCGCGAAAAAACCTACTCCTCGAAGCCAATATACATCGGTGAACACCAACAGGAATTCCCTCAACGACGATATCAGCATCACTAAAATCGCATCCAGGATCAACCAACAACAGCTCCAAACTGGAACTAAGCTTGGACAAACTGATTACTTCAAGATTTGGCACCGATTCGGAGCCCGAACACGATACGTTGTGGCTTATCGAACCATTTGACAAAGGGGGTGAGGAAGTAAAGCTCAAAGAGGATGATGGTTCAGCTGAATAAGCCATTGATCAACTTCAGACCAAAAGTATAGCCTAAGGACGTATCGACGTCAAGCGTAATCACTAATCACATATTGCTTGAAGAATAAGAGCCCCAACTAATTCTTCGATCACAAGCTACGGCTCTCAAAATATTATGATTCTTCCGACTGATATGGTCAAGAAAACCTCCAAGCAAAAGTGCTTTGCAGAAACGAAAAGCGAGATAAGCCGATTACTGAACAGAAGGGGATGATCCAATACGATCACAGAATTGAAGTTTACAACTTTAACACAAAATCCAAACCTGTCATAAACTGTGCTTTCGCTCTACAATTTTGAAAGGTAAAATCTAAAACACAAAACTAGAATCTTGATGCTCAAGATCTAATTAGAACAATACAAACCAGTTTTTGCATCAACGATATTCTATGCTGTAATTTTTACACTGCACAAAACAGGAAATTTTATAGTTTTCCTATCAAATCCCACCTGAATTTCAAAACCCAGAACAACATAAACAAAGTAAAACAGTATCAAAAGGATCAATCTTAGAAAAATTGCAGCAAACACAAAGCCCGAAAACAAGAAGAATCAAGCCTTCGACCATATCAACCAGAAGAACACTCACAGATATCAAATCCCAAGATTGGCAGAGAGGGCAGGGAGGGGGGAGCCAAAAGGGTAGGAATCAATTCAGAGAAACAGAGTCAGAAAGTAGAGAGAGAAAGAGGAGAGAGAGAGAGAGATAGAGGTGAGAAATTTCGTTAGGGGGAGGTGAAGTCGCTTTGGTGACGATTGTGATGGCATCAGCGATCCCAGCTGGGGTGAGGTGACGCACACAGTGTCGTCATCCATTCGGTGTAAATTAATGGGAGCCTTTTGTTTTTGTTTGCAAATTGCAGTGTGGAAAAACGGAGAGCCATCGTACGCACAGTGGTTTATTATTTTGGTTTATCTTTCGCTTTCGTTTGTGAAGTGGGAGAGAGAGAGAGAGAGCTTTGGTGTCGGCCATGGTTGCAATACCTTGTGATTCGAAGGCAAAGATGACATCTTTTTCTTTATTTTAAAGGCTAGGATGATAAGCATCTGGCATTTTTTTTTTGACTGGTTCCATGAGAAGTTATGCTGATATACCATTTGTTCTTTTGACAATTTACCAAACAAAAGTTACTTGCAGTGGGAATGGACTACATGTCAATTACTGTCTAAAATTTCATCAAAACGAATCACATATTACAAACGCGGCCGTTTTTAAGAGTTTTTCGTTACTTTGAGATTTTAGATGATTTGGAGATAAAAACTTCGTATACAAAAAATTAAAAAGCTCGTGAGTTAAGTAAACCAAATAAAGTCAACAAAATTATTTCGAGACGAAGAGATTAGTCAGTGTATTTCTCACTCCCAAGTCACATAGGCCTTAAGAACCGACCAAAATTTGTCTCTAAATATGACCCACGTGTTTAACATGTGATGCTTTTTTTTCATAAAATTTCTGATAAAAATTGACATAAGTGATGATACCCGCGCTTTAAGTAGGGAAATGGTAAGTTGTTAATATTTGTACATAGCCCTGTATGCTGTATTTGTGTGAAAAATTTTGAATGTGATAGGCAAACAATTGGGTGAAGGAAATTGTTAAAAAAACTAGTCATAATGCTACTTATTTTCCTAAAAAAAGACTAGTTGGTGATTTCATCACAACAATTTCTTTTTTGGGGATCTTACAGAGGCATTTTAGCCTTTTCTGATCTTCATTGTGTGATTCACCAACACCAAAAATCGAATTCAGAACGTGCCGTGTGGAATACGAGACTGGAATTCATTCATAACCACTGAGCCATCCCGTAGTGGTTAGTCATAATGCTACTTTCACTCATTCGTTACTTATTTCACTTCCATATATTCCTTCCCTCTCACAAAAATTTAGAAGGAAAAAAAATACACTTTACATATTCCTAATCTACTCCAAAACTAAAACCTTACAATTTTTTTTCAAGATTTGAATGAACTTTTAAATCTTTCGTAATCGAGTAGATACTAGTATATGTGATCTGATTATCATTCACCTATATTATTTGATAGAATGAACACAGTCTTACGACATGATCACTGTCTATTTTTCTTCGTACCTCTCCTATATAGAAAGAAAAAAAAAATGATGTGATAACTTGGTCAACAAGATGTATGCAAGTCGACATTCGCTATATACATGTTCTCTATAATTGATTGGTACTGCATGAACTACTTTATGCAACAGAATGTACATATTTTATTGTCGCATATTATATAAGAAATATTCTTTTCCCATACAAACAATGAATTTGAAAAGAAAAATATTACCTACTACCAAGAAGGAACAAGAGAACCCATCCCATATTATGTTATATTTGATTGTGACTTGTGAGCACATGACCGATATTTGCATACTCGATCACTAGGAAATTGCTAAATGTCATATACAAGGTTTTCTAGTCAAATAGTTTTGAAATTGACATAACTTCTTATTGGCACTTGACGATGAAAATCAATATAAATGGTTATTAAGTTTGTCCATTATAAGTCATTTTTGTTATTCTGTGAAAAAAATTGTCATTAAGTTGAGGGTTGGTTTGACAAAAATACTTTTAAAAAAAATTGTTGAGAGACTACATATTTACACCAGATTTGTGTACAATTACATGTGTCAAGTGATACATATAATCAACATTTAGTACTGATTTGATACTGATGTGCTTTTATAAAAAGTGGTGTAAATAATCACTTGACACATGCAATGTAAACAAATCTGGTGTAAATATGTAGTCTCCCGACTATTTTTTTATGAGTATTTTTGTCAAATCAACCCTTCAACTTAACGACATATTTTTCACAAAATAACCAAAATGACTTATAGTGGACAAACTCAAGAACCATTTCTATTGATTTTCATCATCAAGTGCCAATAAAAAGTTATATCAATTTCGAAACTATTTGACCAGAAAACCTTATATATGACATTTAGCAATTTCCTAGGTGATCGAGTATGCAAATATCTGTCCTGTGCTCACAAGTCACAGTCAAATATAACGTAATATGGGATGGGTTCTCTTGTTCCTTCTTGGTAGTAGGTAATATTTTTCTTTTCAAATTCATTGTTTGTATGGGGAAAGAACATTTCCTATATAATATGCGACAATAAAACATGTACATTATGTATAGAGAACATGCATATAGCGAATGTCGACTTGCATACATCTTGTTGATCAAATGATCACATCATTTTTTTTTCTTTCTATATAGGAGAGGTACGAAGAAAAAGATACAGTGATTATGTTGTAAGACTGCATTCATTCTACCAAATAATATAGGCAAATGATAATCAGGTCACATAGTATTAGTTTGGTATTAAGGTGCTTTTATAAAAAGTGAGTATAAAAAAAAAAAAAAAAAGCTCAAAAAGGTGTTTGGTAAACATTTAAAAACAACTTATTTTCACAGTTTTGGGTGAAAAAAAGTTGAAAACGTGAAGCAACAAAAATGAGCTTATTCTCACAGCACAACAGAATCAGTTTTTTTTTTTTTTTCAAAGCACAATAATATCAAACCAGCCTTTAATGTGATAAATTCATTATTTGAAAGAAAAAAAATGAGATAACTTTATTAAGTGATGTGGCATTACACATGATATACAAAAAAAAGAGATAAATTCATTAATTGACGTGACACTAATAATGTTTTTGTAACACATAGCTTGCCATAGCAGATAATACACAAATATAGTACACAAAATATGATCTCTTTAGCATTAATAATATTATTTGTAACAAAATAACTAATATATGATGTTTAAACCCTTTGCCAAGACTAAATTAGAACTCCATATTGGACTAAATTGAAAGACTTTGATGAATAGTGTTTTTTTTTTTTTTTTCCAACTTTGTTGGCATATCTTTATTTAACAAATTAATGAACAATGTTCAGCAAATTCTTTATTCTGCTGATGTCATAACATCCCTTCAAAAAACCCGCCCGGACACCGACCCTTCCTTCAGCCCGAACCGAAAACTTAAACGGCGTGAACACGAAAACGTCGGGCTTAACTGGTTCATAAAAAGTAAAAATTTGGAAGGTAACATTAGTCAATTTAGTAAAGAACAAGAGGTGCAGAAAGGGGCTAAACCAAAGAACAAGACAAGAGAGAAACAGATGGCGAAATGAGAGGAGGAGGAGACAACTCACAAAGCCACAAAGTGCCAATGACTCATACGAGTCATGAGCTTTTGAGGTTGTTACCTTGTGTTTTTATCTTAACTAGTTTGTATATTTCTGTTGTATTCTTCTTCTTACTTTTCCTTTTGCATGTGACATGAACCATTTTTCTCTAACCACTAGGCAACATGTTACATATATCATGCATTATCATCATGATCAATCAATCAGTCTAACTTGTAACAATGGTGTCAGATGGTCAAACATGCATTGTTGCTTGCATGTATATTGAATAGGACTTGTTTATCTTATACAAATAATTTTTAATTTTTGACTGTCTGATCCAATAAATTAAATACGATCGAAAGATAAAAATTAACAAAGATCTATAAAGGTAAAAAGAAATGTATGAATAATACCATCTTATTAAATAATAAAAAAATTACATTTTATCACCTTAATTTTAGGTCACATAACAATGACATACATCAACTTACGAGTTGCAATGACAAAGACCTCTACTAATCAATTCATCAAATTTATCGTTAAGTAATAACGTGACAAATATAAAGATCATGTTTTACAGTCAATGACTCAATTGTGCCATATAAACAAAAATGGTTTTTTACCAAAAATACAAAAAGATAAAACTTGCTTCACACCAAAAGTCGTTAAATAAGAAAGCGTGGGCCCCGCACCCTACCAAACCAACCATCTCACCACTCTTTCCGGAGGCAGATTGTCTGATATTCTATTTGGGTATTTTTTTTATCCTTCCTATTTATGCAGTCACAGTTAAATCACGTTAATATTTTATATTTTTATTATTTTTTATCTTATTACCTTTATAAAAAAATCAATATAAAATATTAATGTGATGGAATTATGACCGTACAAGAAGAGATGAGAAGTGCAGATAAAAAGGAGGGCAGACAATCTGCCTCCCTCTTCCACCCCCATCAATCCACCCTCTCCCCTTCCTTCACCACCAAAACCACAGCCCCGCGGCTCCTTCTGCATTTCCAGTTCTAACCAAAACCCACAATTCATATTTAATACATTTGCTTCGATTTCAAATTTCAATAAAAAAATTGGATAATCGAAGATTACCCAGATGGTGTTTGGTCCTTCGATTTCGTGCTTTTGGAGGCTTTAATGGTCGAAGAAAAGCTCGACGATGAAGCTTGGGCGGCTAGGAGGAAGAAGTTGGCGGTATAAGTTGTTCGGCGGGTAATTGGGTCACTGGAGAGGCAAACGGCGGGGAATTTCCGTCGGCTGAGGTTGTCGGAAAGTATAGCAAGGGCGTGGCTGTGGCTGGGATTGTGAGGGGGGTGACGCAGGGAAAGGGGGAGGTGTACAGGATGGTAGGTGGACGTACCTTATTATTCAGGACATACCTCATTTTTTTTCATCATTTTAATTTCAATGTCATACGTCAACTTATGAATTCATTACAATGCCAAACTTTCGTAAATTTTTTTATCAATTTAATCGCTAAATGTTGACGTGGCAATTATAAGTTCCAATTTCTTGAATGCTACAGCAAGTTGCCAAGAGAGGATTCTCTTTGTGAGGATGCTGAGAATCCTCTAATTACATTCGTATATCGTGAAGATAGTTTTTGTTAGGTATTGATTTTATTCAATTTTGAATAAAAAGTTTACAATGATTTCTGATCGCACGATGTACGATGAACGAATGTGATTAAAAGATCAGGTAAGGATTCTCATTCTAAGTCACCTACACATGCACAAGTGATTTTTTATTGTTGATCTACGTGAGATTCATAATGAATAAAATTAAGATAGTTTTCCTCATAGACACATATGACCCATTCATGCCAACAAAATATAACTAATAAAAAGGTAATTTACTTCATCTCACTTTAAATTTTTGGGAGATGTAAAATGTCGATTATAAAAAAAAATGTAAATTTGGGATCTCATTTATTTACATCTTTCAACAAAGATGAAAAATTTACATTCCATCATTCGATAGCTTTTCGGTAAAAAAACAAATGTATGTTCCATTATGATTGCTCTTAATTAGCAGCTGATATCTTGAACCGAATACCAAAAGATATGCTACTTTTTTTTGTTTAATATCAAAGTTAATAAAATAAAATATCAGAAATTGTTAATGTAGATTAAGTCAGTTAGTTAAAACACTATCCTCTTGGGTTAAGTCAATTAGTTAAAACACTGCTCCCTCTTTGTACCTAAGTTTAAATCTCAATCCCAATAGATTATAATATTTTTATTGTATAGTTTGAAAAAAAAAAAAAAAAAAAAACTCGTTCATTTTCCTAAAAAGAAAAAAGTGAAAAATAAACCCGGTCCAAACCCAAACCGGTTCAGATCCCGACCGTTACAAGAAACGGTTAAAACGTTAGAAAGGGACCGGGCAACACTAGAGTCCAGTTTTTGTCGTCGTTTCTGTATCCATCTCTCAACTGTTTCTCTTGTAATTGCTGAACATAGCTGTCTTGTTTGTATTTTCTGGTCTTGAAGGAATGTCAGTGAAGGAGAAGCTTTTCAAAAGCACTTCTTTCCTCCAATCCCGAATCCAATCATCCCCCGAAAAATGGCTTCCTTGAAGGAAATGCTCACTGAAGAAAGACTCGAAAGCAAAAGGTACCCGAAAGGCCAGAAGCCATTCAAGTACAGAGAAATATATGAATCTATGGCTCTTCTGCTGCCTATACACATCTGCCATGATCGGAAAAGTGGCGATTTTTTGAACCACAAGGCTCCGACGCGAAAAGGGTTGTCGAGAAGGGTTAGTACTACTTCGGAGAGGTCGAATTCCAAGTCATTGGTTTCGGAGAGTTCGAGGACTAGTGAGCCTGCTGCCATTGATGAAGTTGCCACTGGAGCTGTGGTTTCTATACTTAGTGGTTACGTAGGGAGGTACGTGAAGGATGAGGCTTTTCAGGAAACAATCCGCGAAAAGTGCAGGTCTTGCTTGGTGAGGAAGAAAAAGGATTTGGATAATGGGATGTTGGGAAACTTGGAATCGGGTATTGAAAGTGTTGAGAAGTTGGTGGAAGATCAATGGTCGACGAAGAAGGAAGTTAGGGCGAAAACAGTGAAGAATTTGATTCGGGTTTTTAACGTTGTTGGTTCCTCAAATTCTAGCAATTCTCATATTTCTGCTTGTGCTCAGCTTTACTTGTCAATTGTTCACAAGCTTGAGAAAAATGACCAGCTTTCGTCGCGGCACTTGCTTCAAGTGTTCTGTGATTCACCGGGTTTGGCACGCACACATTTGCTCCCTGATCTTTGGGAGCATTTGTTTCTTCCACATCTTTTACATGTGAAGGTTTGGTATGCCCAGGAAATGGATGCTCTTTCGAGCTCAGAGGACGGTGAGAAGGACAAGAAAATGAAAGCCATGACGAGAGTGTATGATGAACAAATGGATATGGGAACAAAAAAGTTTGCTTTGTACTACAAGGAGTGGCTTCAAGTGGGGGCTGAGGCTCCTCCCATTCCTCCTACTATACCTTTACCTTCTTCGATAAGCAGTTGCAGATCATCGAGAAGGAGATCATCAGATTCTTACACTTCACATTCCTCACTCAACAAAAATTTGTAAGTAGTATTAATACATGGAATTATTTCATTTTTTAGCAAAATATTTAGTAAGTATATATGACTTGTAGTTTGTATTGTCATCGTGTATCTTATTTGATGGTTTCAAAAATCACTGAAGATACCGATCTGTGTTTGGCTCCACGCTTGAGCGAAGATCTGTGAACCTCGATGATGAAAAAGGAGTTTTAAATGATACTTGGGGTTTGGATGAAGAGGAGGAAAATCTTTGTGCAGATTATGTTCATGTGGGTGAATCTGTCTTCATCTCAATTATTTACTAAATTCATTTTGTTTTGTAAATGATTGAATACATATTGCAGCGGAGAATTCACATAATCACAATTTTCTAATTTTGGCAGAGGGGAGAAAGGTCTAGTTGGCGAAGGTCATCAAGCGAAAGTCATAGAAATCCGATAATTGCGCCATGGCCTGAGTCAGAGACACAGAAGTCAGACCATTTTGGATTCTTTAGATGCCAGAATGCACCAACAGTATGCTTGGTGAGCAAGAATCTCATAGTCAAGAACAATTCAATCCGAAAAGAAGATAACTCCCATCTTCGACCTTCAAGCAACTTAAGCCGTGCTATTAGCACTATCTGCTCCTCCTATAATCTAAGTGATTGCGAAACTGCAATTCGTGTGATTACCAAGGCTTGGTTGGACTCACATGGTGATCCTGTCGTTGAGGCTGAGCTATCAAAGCCACCCGTTATTCAGGGAATGTTGGAGGTGTTGTTTGCTTCTAGTGATGAAGAAATTTTGGAATTAGTAATCTCAGTTTTAGCTGAACTCACAGCGAGAAACGAGATGATTAGACAGATCATACTGAACTCAGATCCACAGCTTGAAATTTTTATGAGACTTCTAAGAAGTAATGGTCTATTTTTGAAAGCTGCAATTCTGCTTTACTTGTTGAAGCCAGAGGCAAAACAGATGATATCAGTCGAATGGGCAGCGCTAGTCCTTCGAGTACTAGAGTTTGGAGATCAGTTGCAGATGCTATTCACAGTTCGTTGCAGTCCTCAAGTGGCGGCATTGTACCTTTTAGACCAGCTTCTTACCGGTTTTGATGAAGATCGAAACTTGGAGAATGCTGGAGAGGTAATTTCTCTAGGAGGACTGAGCCTTCTGGTGGCACAAATCGAGAGAGGGGAGACTCATGAGAGGAACAACATTACTTCGATCATTGTGTGTTGTGTTCGTGCTGATGGTAGGTGTCGAAACTACTTGGCTGATTTTCTCAACAAGGCTTCTCTTCTTGAACTCGTTGTACTTGGAAATGGCAAGAACGCTACTGGCTCCGCATTCACCTTATTGATCGAAATGCTCTGCCTTAGTAGGTAAGAAATTCTTGTTTACCTCTTTTCAGTCTTTCGTTTATGTTTTTCTGCTCAACAAAATGATTCTTTGCAGACGAACAAAGATCACTGAAATCCTAGATGGGCTGAAAGAAGGATCGGGCGGCTTTAACACAATGCAGATTTTATTGGTCTATCTGCAGAGAGCTCCACTTGAAGAACGCCCGTTAATTGCATCAGTATTGCTACAGCTTGATCTTATGGTAAATCCATCGTTCGTGTTTATGCAACTTTCTGGTAGAAATTGTAAAATCTTTCTAAACTTATTTCCACTTCTGGCTATCAAACTGTTCACAGAAAAGAAAATCAACATTTGCTCTAGACTTTTCATATATATCTTGAATAGTTCCCATATGGAGTAGCAGTTTTGTTGCAGGGAGACCCTTTCAGGAGCAGTGTATACAGAGAAGAAGCCATTGAAGCAATCATAGAAGCTATAAACTGTCGAACGTGCCACGTAATAGTCCAGCAACGATCAGCAAGAGCTCTCTCAATGTTGGGAGGCCGGTTTTCTGATGCCGGTGAGGCAACAACAGAACATTGGCTTTTACAAGAAGCAGGTTACAGTCATTGGCCAGGAAATTCATTTCTCTTTAAAGAAAACATTGTGGATGGTTTTGCACACTCAGTAAGCTTTCGATTACCCTAAAACGGCCGAGATTTAAACAAAAAAAAAAAAGAACAAATAATGACACCATTTTTATGTGATCCGAAAATTCAGAACGAAGACGAAGCAGCAACGGAAAATTGGCAAAGAAAAACAGCCACTGTTTTGTTCAAAAGTGGCAACAAGGAACTACTCGTGGCCCTTTCGGATTCCATGGCGAATGGCATCCCAAGTTTAGCACGATCGAGCCTTGTGACGGTGTCATGGATGAGTAGATTTCTCGATGCAGTCGGAGGTGAAGATTTGAGGTCAATGACATGGTCAGTTCTTGTGCCTCAGCTGCTAGAATATCTGAATTATGACAGAGATGTGGAGGAAAGAGTGCTTGCTTCATACACACTGCTCAAATTAGCAAAAAGTTCAGGTATTTATTTGTTTATTTGTGTTGTGAAAAATCAAGTATTTATTTATTTTTTTAATTATTTTTGTGTTTGTGAACAATTCTCAGCTCATGAATATGTCCCCATGCTATCATCAGCGGACAAAGATTTGCTCAGGAAACTTCAGAACCTCTCCTTCGTGACATGGACAGCCAATGAACTTATCTCAATCATCACAAGCAACTAAAGGCATCACTGTGAGGGAGAGGCTTCTTACATGTTAGCAGAGGTTACGTGATGAGTGTTATACTCGCGCGTATCAGGATATATTTACAATGGCACCCTAGTCTTTCTCCACCGCCAGACGTTGTTCCGAATTTATGAAATACCTATGATCCTTGAAAGCAGTCGAGTGGTAATGGGATTGGAGTGTCTCTGTTGGGTCTTTTTGTTTATTCCTTTTTGAGTATGTGCTCCCTTTATTTCTTCCATCAATGGCTATTTTTGTATAGTGCAGAATATTAGAGTGTAAAATTATTATCTATCCAACCAAAATGTGATGAGTACTTTATTTGGTACATCAAAGCCTGCAATTTTGCTTCAATACTAAGTAGTGGTTAGTACTACCTAAGATGAACAGTTAGGTTTGAAAGATATAAATCCAATGGTTAGTTGTCCTCACAACACTATTAACTAAATCACATTAAAGTAGTTTCATAAACCTGACCTAACCCTAATGAATCTAGGTGGTGAAGTTGCGAAATTTGTTCAATCCACTTATATACAGACATCCGGACGCAAGAATTTCTCCTAAACCATCACCAGACGCATGCACCATCAATCCACTTACATACAAACGTCTAAACCCAAGAATTTCTCCTCAATCATCACCAAATGCAAGTACCAAAACAACTAACACCCCAATCTCAAGTTTCAACCTGCCATCTCCACATTTATCCAAAAGCTTTTCGCTCACCATCCAAATAACAAGTTGTTCCATTTTACTGGGCAACCCCCCCACGCGCCCCCCCCCCCCCCCCCCCCCCAAAATGAAGAACCCCCACACTTCTGCACTTCTTGATTAGTTTGCAGACAGCAACTCCCCCCCAACCGCACCAACCCAATCAACAAATATATCCAACCTTTAGTCTCTGAATTCATGACATGTTTCTCTGCCATTGTCCTTACAGAAAAGGGGAATCTCCAGCAGAAACAACCAACCTTTCAAGCTTGTACGTCTGCAGACAACCTGCACATTTTGTGGTCCCGGTAGAGCCCCAAGAGGACTTTACATTCACCCATTTGCCAACCCCTCGTATGCCTCCCCTAGATTAGTCTATTAACAAAAAACAAGTAAAAATATGCACCACAAATGAGATGATCCTTCAGCTCTTTGGAATCTAGGGTAAGGACCACAAGTAAAACACTTCCAGCATACATGCATGCAATAATACAGAGGGAGAGCCATGAAAATAACCAAAACTTTTAGATATATTATGATTAGATCCAAAAATAGTTGAATATGAAAATAACTAAATAAGAATACAAAACAATAAGAATATTATTAAATAAATTTGAACTTTGAAACGGTTACAAAATTTCAAGAGGGTACATCGTGATTAATCTGCTTTTCATACCAAACTACAAGCTCTCTTTCTAGAGAATTAAACTAAGAAACCTTAACTCGGATGACCTACACCCAAATCCTAACCTATCAAGTAAAACCTAAATACTAATATTTTCCAACAAAAATAATCAAAACAAATGGAGAAATGATTTCCGTAGACATTTTTTCTCCCTGTCTCTACACAATCCTGTACATTTATGGCCTTTTAACTAATGAAAAATTAAGAAATAAAAATAAACATGAGTGTGAGGAAATTATTAATAATAAAAAAATTGGCCTAAAAAAGTGTCTTTCCTATTTATAAACTCTGCGCAAACCTGGAACTCGCAGCATCCATTTTCTGAGTAGCATCGGTAATGCAACTGAAACAAGCAAGCTGATAGGTTTTTTTGACCACAAAGAACGACAGTAAAGACAACAGTGCCAGCAGCCTACTTCTAATTTAAACCTTCCATGTTTTGTAGCATTTCGAATCGATTCAAATATCACCCACACGAACCAAACACAAAGTCCTCAAAACGATTTGTGAGAATCTCAGAAATTCATAAATCGTATCCGTTTATTGTATATCATGCGGTTAGTTTTCCGTCATGTATTATTTGTATTTAATTTTAAATAATTTTTTACCATACGATGTACGATGAACGGACACGATTTATGAATCTCAAGGATCCCCACAAAGAGGATCTAGAGAGAATCCGGAGAGAATCCTCATTCCTAAAGAACGCCAATGTTTTAAAAGGAAACGATGAAGGCATGGCACATATTGGATTGCCCACTTGAACAAAAATTTTGAGAAACGAAGCCTTATGGGACTTAAATATTTTAACATATAACATATATATATATATATAAATATGTATATAGAACTTTGTAAAACAAATTAATCATCAACAATTAAACAAGCAATCAAACTGACCAGTGATAAATTGAGTTTAAAACACCAAAAAACTTCCTTAAACTTTGAAACAAATTGTGGTGGTGTGGAGAATTTTAAAACAAAATTGAGGTATGAGGGGAAAAACTTGTGTGGGGTTTGACATGCCACTAGACAATGTTGAGTGACAATCCCATACCATTCATAACTTGCCATGTGTTAAATATTGTTGCATTAGTATAATTTCTTATTTTTATTTTATATCATAATTCAAAATTTAATTAATAATATATATATATATATATATATATATATATATAAAAGTAAATTGTTAGAAGGCTTGAACTTCAAGGACGCCACAATCCGAAGGTAAGAGAGGAATCAGATCCGGGGTGAAGCGCAGCTACGAAGAGGATTGCCCGGAATGGGCGATGGTGGAATTGCAAGGGGCGGTGGAAATTCAGCCACAATTTCAAGACCACCTCCTTTTGTAGCACCTGCCCTGGAAAACTGAAGCAGTTTCAACTCTTCCAGGAGTGATGGAATCAAAACAAATGTATTCGAATTTTGAATAATCGAATGTGTTTATGTATGTGACTCATTGCAAACAAACATTAGCTTTTTCATGATTCACATAAAAAATAATCACAAGCTTATCTCTCTCTCACGACCTTGCATGGCTGCTGGGAAATTGTGCCGATTTTGTGTAATTACTGGTTCAAAGGTTTATTAATCCATCAAAGCTGGATTAGGTTTCTAACTAACCTCATTATTTCAATTCAAAAAGAAAAAAAATTTCATTATTTCAATGTATTATCAAATTATTATTAAGGAAGAGAATATAAATTCTGGAGAAGAACCCAATTCTCAAAGCCAACTTTGTTCACCAGTAGTATGTCGTTTCCAATTTTCAAACATTAATAGACTATAGATGTAAAATTGAACGAGTTATAAGGTTATAAGTAATCATTAGAGAGAGTTGAGAGATGGGAGATGAGAGACTTAAGAAAGGGAGAGCCTGAAGAGCAAGGAAGAATTGACGGCGTTGTAGATCACCGATGCCAACGAGAGAAAAGAGGCGGGTTCGCAGATGGAGGTAGATTTAACTGTGATTGTGAATTTTGTTTTTACCATTTTAGTTTTTTAAGAAATAATGATTTAAGTTTTTAATTTTATTTTCATATAAAACTAAAAATAAAAAAATAATATTTAAGCTTAACACATGGCAATTTATAAGTGACGTGTAGTGCCACTCAACATCATCTAATGGCATGTCAAGGCACACATAAGTTTTTCTCATGAGATTGGGGTAGAATTGAAACATAGGATTGGGACTAAGAAATTTAGGGTTTGAGGAATTGATATATTATCTAACCTAAGAGGTCTGAAGTGGGCTGAACCTCACAATAGCCAAGTCATGATAATTTAGTTCAAATTCACCTTTGACGTGAATTAAATCTAAGAACCTAAGGCAATGAAGACAAATACAACTAGATTGTAATGCTAAGGAACAACGAAAACACTTAATAATTTATTAATAGTGTCAATATTGTATCAATTTACTATCGCCACAGTGATATCAATATTATACTACTCTTACATTACGTGACCAGGTGATCTAGCAACACTCAGTTTTTATTTTAACGGGTAGAAATCGCGTGTTTCATTCAAATCAATTTCATTCACACTCCCTTTCTCTCCTCGTTTTTACTCTAGTTAGAGAATCCGTGTTTCATTCACATCAATATCATCCACACTCCCCTTCTCTTCTCGCACGCTCCTCGTTTTTACTTTAGTTGGAGGAAGTCTCGCAATTCATTCAAATTAGCATCGTTCACACTCCCTTTTTCTCCTCGTACACTCCTCTACTTGTTTATGTACCTTAATTCACCATTGTACAAAACAATCTTGCAGTTAAAGTAACACGAGATTAAAATATCAGAGAGTACTACTGTAAATTAAAGTAAACACAGATTAGAAGGAAATTCAATCAACCAAAGCAGGAGGTTAACAAACAGATTAACTTTCCATTCCCATAAATATCATTCAACATTCTTACATTCATAAACATTGTAACCCATATCAAACCCACAATATTTCATACAACACACAAGAAAGAAACACAGAGATACCTAAAACCACAAAGGATTTACTGCTGTTTCAGATTGAACTGACTATTACATAACATTACGACACAACAACCCATTAGATTCACGCACAAACTCCTTTTCAGGAGGTTGGAATTGCGTACGGGTTTGCCAACTTACGGTACCATAACCTCCCTGTTCCACAAAAAGAAATCGGTGGAATCATGCTTTGGCCTTCATACGAAAAACATTATGTTCTCCAGTTCAACGTGCAACTTGCAAAACCTTTCATCGAGAGAAGACACTGACTGCCGTGAATATGTCGAGGATGAGGAGGAGGCGGAGGATACTGACGCTGGAGACTGTCCCTCCGTACTCTCAAAGTATAAACGCCCCCTATATGCCACGAGGTCAGCATAGTACACCGGTGGGACCAATGATACAGGTTTGGTACACCTTGCAAAAGTGAAGCACAAGTCATATATGAGCTTCTGCAATTGGTCAGAAGTAAACCGGTGCTCGTCCCAGAGAACATGGTAGTGCGTGGGTTTGCTTGTCCCAAGGGCTCCATAATGACTGCAGAGATAGAAGTCAAACTCAAACGGGTGCACGATTGTGGTGTCCACAACAGTTCCCGGTGATATATTGCCTGTGGAACCCCCATCCCTTGGATTCTCCAAAAACAGACGAGTATGGTGCCGCTTCTGGGCAACAATAAGTGTGATGGTTGGTTGGTATTTTATACTTGCCAAAGCCAACTTCAGATCTAGTAACTCTTCATTGAGAACCATATCAAACTGGCCCTCACTGACTCCATCACGGAAGATAACAATTTGGTTTGGCTTGGTTTTATTCAACCGCTCGTAAGTTTGAACAAGCTCGAGACACATGTCTCCAAAATTTATTATCTTCTCCTTACGATGGTACTGGGGTCGAACTCGTGCAGCATAACGATTTGCAGCAGGCCAGTTTACAGTGGCAACAACAGCTGCAATTGATGGACTTGTTGTGTTTCGCGCAGCAGGATGATTGACATCAGCCCCCACAAACATAACATGGCCTGCACCCCCTAAGAGGGGGAGCCGATCAATTAGCTCTACATTACTGCCTCCAAGCTTGGCATTGATCTTGAGTGCAAGATTTGCAAGGTACTGGTCATTTGCTTTGTTGGCCATATTTGACAAGCAGCACTGTGTCACTATACCAATTTGAGTCTCAGCGATCCACTTCAGATACTTGTAACCAGGGTCTCTATTTGCCATTACACAAACAAGTAGTTGCAAGTAACCTTTGCCTTCTTTTTTGGCCTTTTCATTAACCTTTTCAAGCAGCTGACGAAGCATCTGCACACTAGAGAATGGCCTCATAGAAGTGGGTTCATACAAAAGAGGCTCTTCCATTCTGATTCCCAGTTTGTTGCACCGAGCGATGAGCTTTGGGATGAACTGGTTAGGGTCCAGTCCATAACGATCATAACTGCTGAAGTCTAGTACAGCCCAATGCATGATTGGTTTTCCTTCCACGACTCTCTTCCCAACCAGATTCCATTGGCATTTCTCTCTGTCAACAGTCACCTTAGTCACCACCTTGCCATCAGAAGCACCCAACTTCAACTCAGGAGGGCCTATCACACGCCCTGTTACTGGTGTCATATTCTGGTTGACTTCAAAGCCAAAATTCTGAATGATGCCACCACTGCCAATGACAAAAAATCAGGATCTAATCACGGCCAAATAAAGTCACTCAAAATGGTAATAACTACCTCCATATTATAAGCATGTTCATGTATGTTTATGATTCTAATGCTTAGATTTCCCTAAATCCACTATGTTTTTCTACAACCCATTTTCATGTGTAAACCGTTATCTTAATGCCCAGTATATGCAAACGAGTCCACTATCACCAGCATGTTCGTAAATAGTGTTATAACAGAATAAGAGTTCTCACTTCTCAATTCAGAGAAAGCAACTACCTACTAACTAAAATCATATACGCTAGTTTACAATTTTCCATGCAAGAGGAATACTGAATTCAAGAAATTCAAATGAACAGTAGAAGTTCAATTTACTTGAAAAAGGAGGGACAGAAATTCACTTACCCGCAAGGTCCATCATTTGATCGTACCATGTCGTATATACGATTCTGTCTATCTCTTGGTGAAGGCAATGAGATGTTCTTCAGCATGATGGCTGCTTCTTTGCCCAAATACTCCTTTGGATACCTTTGCCCCTCAACTAAGACACAGAACTCCATTGGGGTATCATTCCTTCTACCATTTTTCCCCAAATCCAAGCAAGGAATGTTTTTGTACCGAATCTCCTCGTATTTGTCCCTGAAATAATCAAGAAGTCTAACTTTCGTAGGTGGACTCTGGCCATCTATGTCTACAGCATCAAATGTAATATCTCCTGCATTCCTATCAGTAAGCCCCTTAATGAGGTACTTCTGCTTGGTTCTGCGGTGAGTAACGTTAACTTGCAATCCCTTCAATACATCCTCAACATCTCTCCTATAACTCTGGAAATTATTTAAAGTAAATCCCCTTATTTGCTGTTGGAGAAAATCAATAACAGACATGCGCTTATGAAATGCCAAGACTGAGTAATCCAGACACAAGGTAGGACCCTGAGAAGTGAGCTTCAAGCCATGCTGAAAGCCTCTGAAGGCAGCAACACCATATCCAAGGTCATCGTTTGGATGAGATTCAGTGGGGTAAAAGTTTCGACCAAAAGCAATCATGCGCCTAGTTGGATTCTCTTTCATCACCAAGTCCATACTCTGCAATATGTTACGAGGGATATCCAACAGCTGACCACTTAGGTACTCCTTCAACTTGCAAAGCTGCAGCTCCTTCGCAAGCTTTATAGTCAAAATGTACGAACTGAACCGCGTGCCTTCTTCTTCAGGAACTTCCACCTTAAATGATCCAGTGGGCAACGGCACTGCACTGAATATGTTCTTTTCACCATCATATGCTGTACTTAACAACGGAAAATTTGAAGGATCATCCGTGGATAACTGCTTCCTGATTGCAGCAAGTTCAGACTTTGACATCTTCACCGGACGGCCATTCTTAGCAGGGTGTTCTGGCTTAACATCAACATCATAGTGCATTATAATACTCTCAGGATTGAACTTGAGATTAAAATGATTAGCGCGGAGCCTAGCAGTTCGGATATGTATCATCCCCCCACGATCAGGCCGCTTCACTGGCACATGATTGCTCGCCTTTTCCAAAGAAGATGAAGGGGGTGTCTGTCCTGAAATTGCCATTGATTGCATTGCAGGAACAAGAGTATCTGTGAAGAAGAAAGAGCAAAAGGTATCACCAACCTAATTATCTTAAGCAAATTCAAATAACCGGACTAACTGTAGTAAACGACCCACAGAACAAAATACAGAGGTCAGTAAACCTAAGCTGTCTAACTCCGACAAACAATTTTCTCACACATACAAATTAATTTGTTTCCGAAAACTGGACTCCAAGTCGAATTGTATGTCCAATAATTATAACAAACGTGTAACATTTCTTAGTAAACCAATCAAATGCTCGAACCAAACATACCGCAAAACCGCTCCCTACTGGGTCAGTTGAAACCAAGAAGATCAAGCAAAAAGCACACAATTTATCATACATCATTATATGTCATAACACACATAATCCATACCTCAGAAACCCTAAACAGTAAAGCTAAATCAGATCAAAATTAGGGATAGAATTGCAATAATTAAATCTACAAATTAAATATTTGCAATCATTTCAAAAAAAAAGAAAAAAAAAATGCTTCCAAGTCTACCGTCACAATTACTAATTACAATTGTATCTGAAAAAGGACCAAAATGAAAAGAAAAAAAAAAATTCATACCAGGATCAGGAGAGATGTTCGGGGCCGATTCGACCGGAGATGCAGGCGGAGCAGGCGCTCTGGGCCCCCATGCTCTGGTAGAAGCGGGAGCATTCCATGGATTAGGCCTCGGTTGTTGACCCGGATTCTGATTTGGCGGTTGCTGTTGCAGTGGCGGCTGTGGCTGCTGTTGCGGCGGATGATGGTGGTGGAACTGTGGCCCGCCAACATTAACACCGCCGTCATGACCGCCTCGTCCTCTCTCTCCTCCTCCTCCTCCACGTCTCCCTCCAGTTCCTCTGCCATAGCCGCCAGGATCACCTCTTCCACCACCACCACCATCACTCCCTCTCCCTCTCCCTCTTCCCCTTCCCCTTCCCCTAAATCCACCGCCGCCGCCTCCTTCCATTGGAAAATCGGGAGCAAACGCACAAATCAAAGAGAGAACTCGACTCAACTTCCTACTCGCTTTCTTCTTCAAAAACCCACAAAAACCAACAAATGAGGGCCTCTGTTTGGCGGATCAGTTGGTCCCTTCCATATGCCCGGGGGGAGCGTACGAAATGACGGTCTTGCCCTCTCGCAATGGCTTTGCCTTAGTCGCGAAGAGTCAACCACGCAGAAGGCGCGTGGTGCGCGGACAGGTTAGAATGACGAAATTCCCCCCCGGGAACTTTTGCTTTTTGGGTGGAATAAAATCCAGAAGCTTCGATAGAACAGAGACGGTGGGTCCCGCGTTTTGCAAAAGAGAAGGTGAGAGGGAAAGCGTGAGGAAACTGAACGGACGGAGTATCTGATGACATGACATATTCTGCCTCTTTCTTTATCTCTCGCCATCCCTCTCACTCGCTCTTTTTGAATTTCCATCTCTTTTGTTTCTCGCTTTTTACGCAACACGAGATTCGAATTCACGTTCTTTGTATTCCTACCCTTCAATTTTTGCCCACCTTCTCTTTTATTTCTTGAGACGTGTCACGTGTAAAAAAACATCTGATTTTTATTAATATTTTAGGCAATTGGCACTTATGTAGCAAACTTCTCAGTCATATTTGTGCCACGTAAATAGTTTTGATTGATACGATCTTTTAATCCATTATAACAGCTTATCTCAAAAAACTTTTAAACTTGAACAGGTCGAATTTTAGAGTCATGAGGCTCCATACTATTAGATATTGAGAGGATCTTGAACCCATGTTGTGAATGTGCACTGTTGGGTAGTGATAAAGTTCTTTTTTTAACAAAGGGTGTGTACAAGAAGAATTTTCTTAAGAGAGATAAAAACTTAGTAGCTCGTAAGCAGTACACTGTCAATTACTAATTACAACTACCACAGGGATAATGTTGGAAGTTATTAGAGCATTTGCAAGAATGCTGCAAAACAATCAAAACTCTATTTTAAATGGTTAAATTTGAAAGAAAATACATCTCTAACCGACTATATAAAACAAGCTTTATAGCAAAATGAATAGTTACTCTCTAAATTTACACTATTTTTTAAGCTAAATGTAAAAAATAATAAAATTCAAGGGTAGACCCTCGACCAAGGAAAAAAAGGAAGGGAAAGAAAGCTGTTTTAGAAAATGAGTAGGTTGGGTTTGAATTGTTAACAATAAAATAATTAAAGTTTGTTGATACAGAGAGTGTTGTTAAAAATAAAAAGTTAAACTGAGTAACTAAAATAGTTTTTTGACATCGGTCACTTGCTAGTTTAACAAAATTTTAAAACTTCTCTTGGAGATGCTCTTACAAATTATAGTACAGAGAAAAGGCGTAAGGTGGTGAACATTCAAAATACTAATTAAAAAAAAATTAATTTTCTTTTTATTAAAATGTGAAACTATAATAATTTAACTTCTTGACATAACATCGCATGATGAAGTTGTTATACCGCTATTTAATGTTCTCATGAATGTACAAGTTTTCCTTAGTAAGGATGTCACTATTTAAGAAAAATAATTAAGGAATCTTGTTTCCAGGTTTAAAAATTCCAACGAATATATATATATTTTTTTAAGGATCGATCTTTTTATTTTTTGGTTTATAAAAACGTGTAAGCCAAAACTGCTGTAGCCATCTAAATGTGTGAGATAAGGAGAGAAAATTTTGTAGGTAGTGTGTTGTGTTTTAAGTGGGTGGGTAATCGAGATTAATTAGTTTGTTCTTTAGCTTAGGTTAATTATTGCCCTTAGGTTTGTTCGTCAACAGATGAATTTTTCATTAAAAATGTAAGTGCACAAATAGGTTAGAGTGCAATTATTTGTCAATTGACCTTCTGGTTATATCTCTTTTACCCTTCCCCTCTCTCTGTGCGCCCTATTTTTGCACCACAAGCAGAAGGAAATATGATGTACAATTACAGTCTTACAAAGTCTCTACAAGTAAACAACATCATCATGTGTAAAACTTATCATACTTTTACGTCGCTTAGCTTCCTATAAATACGAGTAGCGAACATTAGGTACGAAACCTTCGTAAGTAATTTACATAGTATACAAATTGCATCGAACATTTACAAACACATGGAGGAGCTATAGGTACGTAGTTAGTCGAATGTAATACGTGCCAAGTACGTACATATACATTGAAAGTTGAATGCATTTTGGAGTATATCTAGTGCATGTAGGTGTAGCTAGTGTGCAGGGAGGCGGCCCTGCGGACAACTTTTACCATCATAGCAAACGCACTTGAAAAGTACGCAGGCTCCAGCAGTCGCACCTTCTTTTGTGCATGCCTTGTTGCAGTTTGGACTCCACAAGCATGCACCCTGCCATGTGCTACTATACGACCATTCACGGCATCCTACAAGCCCGCCATCTGCATTGTGCAAGAAACATATATAGTCATATTTGAAGATCGAAATAAAAGAAATAAGGAACAATGAAGAGAAAGGGTCAATGGAGTTTACTAGAGATTTTTCTGTGTACTTAAAACACTATCACGTAATGTTTACTATTTCACTCAAATTATAACATGTGTATTTATTTTTTTGTTAATGCACTATGAAAGTAAGATATATATATCAACTATGTCTTCCGTCTATATTATAACACATGAAATATTACATTACGTGACAATTATTCCCAATACACGTAGAAACACCTTCATTCTCACCTGCAACTGCAAAGACGATGAATATAACAAAAAGCACAGAAAGGCAAATTGACTTCAAAGTTTTAGCCATCGTCTTCCTCAGTTTTTCAATAATTAATAACTAATATTACAATTGTAATGGCACAACTTGTTCGAGTTTTAGGGTGCTGTATATATGCTTTTCTTGCGAGGGGGAATAAGTTAGGGCTTCTGTTATAAAGTTGGGGTTTCAATTGAGGTCCACTCATTTCACCGCGTGGCCAGGTAAGCAAGCCCTTACCACATTTAGGTATAAACAACATGTACAGCTGGATAGAATGTGCAACAGCTACAACAGAAACACTGCTAAAATACACATTTTTTCCTCTAATAATCATGCTTATGTTAACCTAATCTCTGTAGATCTCATGTTTCGTTAATTCAGAGTTTTCTGGGTTTACAGTCAGGGTTGGAAACGTCGGTCTTTCGGGCAGGTAAGTTCGTTGGGTTATGTGTGTAACTGAATTATAGCTATATTTCGGTTGTCTTCTTATACTTCGATGCCTAAAAATATTAAACAAGTCCTTTAAATAAAATTCCAAAAACGACACCCACCAAATGAAACGGCAAAAAGAAGATTTTACTAAAAAAGTAACCTTGCCCGCACTGGAACGCTCTTTTCTGAATGGATCCAGATATCATCTTCGAACTCTCTTTTGTGAATGGACCCAGATGGAGAAAGCTGCATCATGAGTGAAGTCGAGATGTGCTATGGATCGATGTGTGTTGGGGGACCATTGGACAGCACCAGACCGAGACATCATCTGTGCATTTCGTATTTTTGTTCGATTTGTCCAAGGTACCACATCTTCTTAACTTAATCATTTTTCCTTTTAAAAAGGAGAAAGAGAAATTAGTATTATTCTATGGGACTTTAACACTAACTACAAAATCACAGTCATAAATATGTGAATTTCTGAAATTACATCAACATGCCGCATGATCTTACAAGTAGTAAGATCATGTGATCTTTTTGTTCTATGAATTTTTGTAGAAACGAGAATAATATTAATAGGAGAAAGGAGAATCGAATACCATCTTGTGTGCATGATTAATTGCATTTAACTTCTTCAACTACAAATCTTTTACGTATTTAAATGGGGATGAAGCACCAAAAAAAAAAAAAAATTGAAGTGGAGATGCAGAAACTAAATTTTGATGAAGCTGTTTACGGGTAGTTTTCGTTTTATTTGCATGAGATGGAGAGTGCAAGTGCAGTTATTTTATTTGACCATTTCAAATGATCTAGCTTATAGCTAGCAAGAAAATCTAGGATCAAATCCCCCGTTCATGGTTACTGCATGACTGAAGCATCCTCCTTTACATTCAATCCAAGTTCTTACAATAGATGGAGGGAAATATCGCTGAAGGCAGCGGTTGAAGAAGTGTGGTGATCAAGAAAGAGTGGTGCCACCCACATACCCCTATTTACCTCCTACACACTGTTTTTAATTTCAATTGTTGGATCAAATGAACTGAATAAGATTAAGGGATATAAATTAACCGGTAGTGTGGAAATTAAAAATACGTATGTGGTTAGCATCAACCCAAACCAACTGTAGCTAAACATAAATAAATACATATTAATTTTTTTGGAAAATAAAAAGGAAAGTACTTTTGGATATGATTTATTTAGTGATTTTATATGATTTAATTAGGGTTTTAATATGATTTGATTTAGTCTAGGTTTCCTTGTCTTGTAGACAAAGGATTGTATTGATTTATTTCCTAGTATTGCTCTTTTGTAATCCTGTAAATACCTCCTTATGGAGAAGAATAAAGTAAATGAAGTTGTATTTGAGAATTGTGAGATTGTAGAGAATTTTTTAGGGTAAATTACACAAAACTACCTCAACTATGGGTCAAACGACACTATCATACCTCATCTTATGAATTTGTGCTAATATCAAACATCTGTCAGTTTTTCTGTTAAATGTTGACGTAGCTAGAGACGGGACCCACTTCACTAATCCAATTGGATTAAAAAATAATAAAATATTCAAAAATTAAAAAACTACACAAATAAAAAATGCCTAGGGATGCATATCTCTCTCTTCCTTTCTTCCACCCACACCAACTACTCTCTCTCTCTCTCTCTCTTCTCTTTATCTTCTCCTGCATCTCTCTCCCACACTCTAAATCCCTCTTCTCTCTGCAACCACCGGCGCCGAGGCCAGCGTCCTCCAATTCGCCATCTTTCTCCTTCCTACGGGGTCCCAGGCATAATTGTGCACGAGCTGGCGCAAAGAGGCAGCGAGGTTAGAAGCCCAGGGTGGCGACAACGGGTCTTGGCGAAATGTGGGGAGGGAATTGAGGGTTTGGGTGTGTAAGAGGGGAATGGGATCTGGGTGTGGGTTTGGTTTTTTTTTTTTGGGTGTGGGATTTGGGTGTGGGCTTGGTTTTTTTGGTTTCTTCAGTAGGGTGGTGAAGATGGAGGAAGAGAGGCGGTGGTGGGGTGGTGAAGGAAGGTTGGGTATGGAGGGACTAAGAGAGGGATGGGTCGAGTTGGAAGGTGGTGGTGAGGGAAGAACGAGTGTGAGTGGGGAGAGGGATGGAGGAAGGAGATCGCATCCCAGAGAGAGGAAAGAGAGAAGAGGGAGAGAGGGTGGTGAAGGAAGGTTGGGGGACGGGGAAGGGTTTAGTGGCTGTTGAAAAGAAGAAGAAAAAGGGTTGCTGCGGGTGGAGGAAAGGGAAGGCCAGATCCCTTAGGCCATTTTTAATTTTTTTTAGTTTTTTAAATTTTTTAATATTTAATTATTTTTTAATCCAGTTGGATTAGTGAGTGGGCCCTGTCTCTAGCCACGTCAACATTTAACAAAGAAATTAACAGAAAAACTGACAGAGGTATGACATTGGCACAAATTCGTAAGATAAAGTATGACATTGTCACTTTTAGAAGATGAGGTATGAAAGTGTCGTCAGACCAATAGTTGAGGTAGTTTTTTGTCATTTACCCAAATTTTAAATTTATCCTAAACCCTTTATTCTCAATTGATTTGCAATGTGTGTTTTAATGTTATAGTATTCTAGTTAAATGTTGAGGAGTGTTATGCAAACATATTTTTTATATAGTTCAACGAAATATATGTTATAATATATATATATATATATATATATATATATATATATATATATATATATATATATGGGATAGGATCAAGGGACAAATAGTTTTACAAATATTTTTACACTTCTTTGTAGCCTTTAGATTTTATAACATCCAAGGGTTCTTATCTATTCATTAAATGACATGCATACTTATGTGGATTTTAACTAATATTAATGATATTTGAAAGAAAAATAAAACTAATATTAATGATAAAAATAAAACTGAAAAACATAAAATCTGGAAAATTAAAAAAGGAAAAAACCTTAGCTAGCTGTAATCGTGAAAACAAATATCAGACTTTGAGCCCTAATAACACAAAAACATGAAAACTCTTCGAGGTCGACAATGCCTTGGATGAAAGCTAATTAACAAGCCATTGAAAAGCTTTCTTGTCAATCAAGGAAATGCTTAAGAATTTAATGTGAATTAATTTAAGGTTTTAAAACCTCATCCTTTTCTATGAAAATTCGATTTTATTTCGGATATCAAGATTCTGTTTATGGGCTTAGAAGCATCATCAGGGCATCTTCACTGATTGAAATAAAAGGGACTTCTTTAATAATGGGGCAAGAGTTCTCTGAATCTATCTTTTAATCCCCTTTTTTTCTTCAGGCACTATGTATTGCTTGCTTCCCATGACCCTGCAGTTGCAGACAACCCATGAAAATACACAATTGATACTGACGATGATTCAAGGGAGGAGATAGAAGGAAGAAGATGGTGAAAGGGTCGGTTAGGTTGTAGGGAACGATCAAGATTGATATATCCACCATAGATGATTTAGGGCTGGTTTGGTATTGCTGTGCTTTGAAAAAAAAAACTGATTCTGATGTGTTGTGAGAATAAACAGCTGTGAAATAAAGCAGCAGAGTGATTGGTAAACTATTTTGTAAAAGTGTTTTTGAAAAAAAAAACAGTATTATAGTGTTTGATAAACTTTCATGTAAAACAGATGTGAAAAAAAGCTGGTTTTTCAAAGCTGGGTTTCGCAGCTTTGTGTTGTTAGCTTTTTTTTCACCAAAAACTGTGAAAAAAAACTGAAGTTGAATGTTTACCAAACATAAAAAAGATCCCAGCTTTTTTTTATAGCCATTTTTTTTTAGAATCACCTCAATACCAAACTAGGGCTTAGTCTTGTCATATTAGTTAACAATGGCCTAGGCGGTTAGAGAAAGATGGAGGCTGGGAAGTTTACGTTTCCCTAACCTGATATTGTTCCTTAAAATGTTTTAATTGAATAAAGTGTTTTTATTTCCATGTCATTGCCACATCATTTAGTAGTTTATCTTGAGTCATATTAGTTTTAACTTTCATTCGGGGCCATTAGATGTAGGGGTGGGCACGGTGCGGTTCGGTGCGGTTCCACCCCTAAATTGGAACCGAAACCGAAATATATTAACGGTTCGATTCGGTGCGGTTCCACTTAAATTTATTACTAGAACTTTACGGTTCGGTCTACACCGGTTTCGATTCGGTTCTTGCCGGTTTACGGTTCCTAATAATAAATTATTTGAACACCAAATCATTATGCATTCAAATACATCTTCTAAAACTGATTACATAAAGTTGCATACAACACATCTTTTTTAATGCAAATGTCTTTGGTAGTGGCACCAAGTCAACAAAAAGAGACAACTAAAATACATATGCACTGGTCAATTAGTCAACAAACAAAAAAATGATGAAGCAAATTGCAGGTTTTCAGACTTCAGAGAGCAAGCAAGAAGCAACAGCTCCTGTACACAATTTTTCAACCTATTATACCATGACATGTGTGTGTATATATAATTTATTTATTTATTATTAATAAAACGGTTCGGTTCGGTTCGGCCGGTTCTTGGTCATTCGAAACCGGAATCGGAACCGGTTTGAACGGTTCGGTTCGGTTTTTCACTCAAAGTTGACTTTTCCGGTCAACACGGTTTTTTTCGGTTTTTTTTCTT